ATGCCCTACCACTTCAGATGTTCTCGGAGCACAAAGCTCGGACACTGTTGCGATATCGCTCATGAAATTAGAGCTCCATGCTTGCTGCACTAAAGTCTGGAACGCACGAAAATTGGTCAACGTCAAATTGGTGTATTTCTGTTAAAAATGTATTAAAAATATCCTGAAATGCTGCAGTTGGAAGTTGAGTGTATATACAATGGTTGCTATGATAAGTTTTCACCGTTTGCTCTCCAGTTTTCAAAATGACGTCCAAGCAAGAGAAGTAGCGTGTCAAAATTTTGAATCGACGTTCTCACACGCCAAGTTGGCAAAATTGCTGGATGTGGCGACAAACGTGACGTGACAAACGTTTCAAAGGTGTTCGGGGAGCGTCTGTGGACCGCCAGGAAGCCTGGGGCCACATTGCGCATCTCGAAACGAAACACTTTTTGTACGAATGCTTGTATGAAAAACTGTTTCGTTTCGAAATGTGGCCCCTGGAAGCGGCGGCAATCGTAATCCAGCCGTGGCAGCGACGACGAAGAAGGTGCCGGTGAAATATGAGTGGAATCCTAAACTCTCCATCCGGGACGTCGCTGGCAAGCTCAATGTCTCCCATACTACAGTGCAGCCGGCCAAGAAACGAGCCGGGTTGTCGACGTTTAAAAAGGCGAAGGTAGCGAACCGAGATTACAAACAAAACACGTCGGCAAAGTAGCGGTGGTCCTTAAAGCTGTATACGAATCTGCTCACAAAGTTCGACTGTGTCGTCATGGACGACGAATTTTATGTGAAGGTGGATTTCAAGCAGCTTCCGGGACAGGAGTTTAATACCGCATCAGGAAAAGGAAAGGTGGCTGAAATTTTCAAAACCATCAAACTATCGAAGTTCCCGAAAAAAATATCTCGTCTGGCAGGCCATATGCACGTGTGGTCTAAAAAGCGGCATTTTCATTACTACGGGAACCATCAATCAAGAGATGTACGTCCAGGAGTGCCTGGAAAAGCGGCTGTTTTACCATTCCTAAAGCAACATAATCAGGGCTGGTAGTGAGGATGTGATTTAATAGTAGTGACTTTAGTGACTAAAATAACGAAAATAGTGACCAAATAGTGACTTTTAAACAATAAAAAAGAGACCAATAGAGACATTTATTGGTCAGCAATATATGGTTTCAATCTTCCATTGATTTCGATTGCCACTTCGAGAAATTTTTTTAACTCACGAACCCGCATTTTTCATGTTTCTAAAAAATAAAACAAACGGTTTATGGATCCCATTATCCTCAAAAAATAAATATAAATTGAATAAGCATTTTTTTAAACAAACTATTTACTAAGTTGATATTAGCATCGAAAGCACACATTGATGATTAGATCGCAAAATTGAGGCACAGAGAAAAATGTTCAAATTCAAAGATTTAGACAAATTTTGACAATTTTATTAAGACAGTCAAATTTAAATATCTAAGATATTGATGAAGCGATGCGATAAGCGATTAGTATTTTAATTAGAAAAATCGTTCTCCTATTTGCAGTCGCTATAACGCACTGGTCGTCTCCATTTCTTCCAAGAAGAGAATCTTCTGTAACACAAGGAAACAAATTCATAACTGTGGGACATAGACAACTTTTCTAGATCGCAGTTTCCAAAAACCTCTCGTTACTGTGGATCGAAGAAAATTAGCCTAGATGGAAAGATCACGGACATAAAACAAAATTTGAATGCGTCTAGGGCTAAAAATCTCGATCGTGAAAAATTAGGGATCTAGGGATGCATTTTAGAGTTTTGGACAAAGGGGTAAGTCTCAGCACATTGTGCCGAAACTAGATTCGGCACAGCTTGAGCACATCCATTGGCTCATCTTCAGCACCATTTCGTAGGCATTGGATCATTTTAAATAAAATGGGAGCACTGCTAGACAACTGTCATTGAAGTTGTTCACAACATTATTTGCTGTTTAACTGTATATTCAGTAACATCCTCTAATTGAATATACCAGAGGAACTCAGACCTGCAGTTAAAATATAGATATAAATACGAAATGTAGGTTCTAGAGTGGGCTCAAGAGACAGAAGCAGTTAATTAGACCTCATTAATACCCTTAATTCAAATAATGCTGCAACTCACACCAAACAAACTACAGAAGTCTATTCATCATCCTCTATAGTCGATCTTGAACCATGTTCCCCACCGGTTCCAACTCTTTCCGGCCGCTAATAGACCGTTGCTTTTCACATCACGAAATAGGTTTCTGTTCTACCTTTGAGGGCATTATAAAACCCTAAAACACAGAACTTTTATTATCCTATGAACACAAAACACCAAAATTTCGCACACCCGCCACTTTCCGCGTCATCCTCAATCCGATTTATCCCTGCGATTTCAAACAAAACATTCAAGGTGTCAGGAATACCGGGTTGCCGGGATGGGTATTTTACAAACAATCGCAGCTTGCTCTATGACCGGCACAATCGGCACACCTGTGGCACACTGACAAAAAAGATGACCCAGGATTGGTGTGCGGAGTGACCTACCCCTTGGTTTTGGACCATTTTTTTTTTGAGCCTGAAAATTCGAGATCTCTAACACAACCAAATTGAGAAAATAGCAACCTGCGAAACCTCTTACAATTTGTGATAGGTCTATAACGAATTCGAGATCAAACAAATAAAAATATTAGTGATTTCATCAACATCAATTTTACAGCTAACATTTCCGTCTGTTCGCAACTTTTCTTGTCCGTCAGAATTTACACGCATTTTTAATGAATCTTTCTAACACACATTTTTTACTAAATCAATCTGTGATTTGATGTGAGTTTTTGAAGTAATTTTTTTTTACTCTCAACGTCGGTAGTAAAAAAGTGACTTCAGTAACTAAATTTTAAGGAATAGTGACTTTGAAAAAAGAGACTTTTTAGTGACTGACTTGAAAATAGTGACCAAGTCACTAAAAAGTGACCTGCTACCAGCCCTGCATAATAGACCTGTGCTGTTCTGGCCGGACTTGGAGAGCTGCCACTATGGGAAAAAGGCAATCGAGTGGTACGATGCGAACAACCCAACAGCCCAGAACTATGCCCTATCGAACGGTATTGGACCTTGGTCAAACGGAATCTAAAGAAAACTAATAAATCCATGGAAAACGAGCAGAAGTTTAAATTTAACTGGCGTTCGGCGGCGAATAAGGTCGATGAGACCACTGTGCAAAATTTAATGGAAGAGCTTAAGCGAAAGGCACGGCAGTTCGGATTTGGCAAACCAAAAGAATAAATGAACATTTTTTCCTTTAAATATATGAATTGAACTACTAAAAGAAAAATAAGAAGATTTTTGTGATATGAATTTTGACTGAAAGAAACGATTTTTTGTCGACCAATTTTTGCGCGTTCCAGTCTTTACTGTGCAGCCTGCACATGTTCATCATTGACAATTGAAATAATTTCCCTTGAAGATGATCTTTAGCTCAAGTGAGTGTCGAAAGCTGTTTTTCCAACATCGCCGTGTATCGTTTCGTAGTTGAATGAAAGTCAGAAATCTGTAACAACAGCAAACGTAAAGTTCGTTTGTTGTATGTTTTGAAGGAGTTGATTTTTGTAAAATTTCGAGGTTATAGTAAGATTATTCAGAAATAAGGTTTCCACAGCGATTCACTTGGAGGCCTCATAGCCTAGTCAGTAAAGGCACGGTATTACCAAGCCGGAGGCGGCGGGTTCGATTCCCGGTCCGGTCGAGGGAATCTTTCGGGTTGGAAATTTTCTCGACTTCCCTGGGCATAGAGTATCATTGTGCTTGCCACACAATACATATACAAATTCATGCATTGGTATTGGCATCGAAAGCTCTCAATTAATAACTGTGGAAGTGCATTTAGAACACTAAGTTGAGAGCACGCAATAAGCTAATATGCGCTAAGCAATAAGCTTGAAATGCGAATAAGAAGAAGAAGAAGAAGAACAGCGATTCACCTTAAATTATAAATCCTAATGACGACTCTCAGATATTCTCCCAAAATGGTAGTTTTGCAAGGAAGTATTCAAAGGATCTCCAGCTTATTGAAGATTTTAGTGAATTCCTCTAAATATTTTTTCAAGAAAGTATTTAAATTATTCATAACAATCATAATCTTCACCTACAAAGAAATTCAAAAAGTCTTTGCAAGTCTTCTTCTGTTTCAACATGTCTTTAACAATCTTCACAAAATATGACATCGCAATTTGAGCTGATCAAAAGCTGAATAAGCATTTTTTTTAGCTGAAGAAGCAATTTTTTTTGCCTGAGTAAGCTCCTATTCAGCTTTCAATGTTTGTTGGGATATTTTCAAAATGCCTGCGATAAAAAATGCCTGCACCGAATTTTAAATGTCTTCAAATTGAAGACATATTTTCAAATCTGGCCTCCCTGCTCGAACCCCCGCTTGCAGCCAGTCTCCCAAGGAAATTCTTTCAAATCCTATCGAAAACCATCGACACATCTCCGTTTAATGTTTCCCGAAGAGATTCTGAATTTTTTTGCTGTATTTAATATAGAGACGAAAAAGAAGACGCATTCCATGCCTCTGTTTTTTTTGGATTCTGGTTTCATACGAGCAAACATCTACCCACCCAACAATACGGCGTTGTGTTTTCCTGTATGTTTGTTTGTATGGTAAGTTTGTTTGTTAATTTTATGCTTATAACATGTATAAAGTTGTTTAATCTTTCGTTAATATATACGCATTTTTTTTACTATTCGTAGTATGTGTTTGAGAAAGAATAACTTTCCGAATGACTCTCTGTGTCTGTAAGAAATTGTTCTCTTAGGCAATCTTGTTTTGTTTGCGTCTGTATGCGAAAGGGATTGTAAGAAATGAGTGTGGTTGTTTGGAAAAAGTTAGTGCTCGGTTTGTAGGAGAGAGTGAGAGTTGTATGAGTGCGAAAAAGAAGTTGGTAGAAAGGGAAAGGTGATACAAGTTTAGTATAGTTTGGTCAAGAAAAATGGCGCTTGAAAAGAGGTCGAAATCGATTTCGAAAGTGAAATGTTATGCGGTTCTTTATTTGAACGTTTCGTATCCGATGATGAAACAAACACAAAGAGCTTATACTCGCATTCTCTAGAATTGCCGTTTTTGCTAAACATAATAATTATGTATGCACTGGTTTTCCGCTATGTTTAGCTTGGAAAAAATTAAATGCTCTTCATGCAATTTGCTTTCTTATACATTTGTTTCTGGTATTTTTGTGTTCTTTTACACTGTAATCCATCGTTCGAGAAATTTCAATACAAAATATATGTTTTTTTTTTCTGTTTTCCTTTGCGTTTATCGATAAATATTCTTTTGCAAGTTTTGCTTCTCTTTCCTTTGCTCTCTATATATAACGAGCGCGCTACGTTTAGCTAGTGTAATTGCAGTAGTTGTTTTCAGGTTTTCGAATTTTTTTAATTTTTGCTTGCAGCACTTGGCGTTGCTATTAGTTATATACCGAAACGAATGAATCCCAATAAGGTCACGACATTACGAAAAAGGTTTTTTTTTTTGTTTGTTATGTTTTCACTACACCTACCGAGAAAATGGGTTATCATTGTTACACTAGTTTGTGTTCCTTCATCATGTGTTATTTAACGTTGTTCGAAAGCAGTTACGGGCAACCGTTATGCAACTGTTGCAAGTTGCACAATAGATGCACAGTAGCTAGTTTCGTAGTAGATTTTTATTAAATATATTTGGTTTAATATCATGTGTTGTTTTTGGTTAGAGGAGTAGATTTCAAATAATCATTTATAATAGGCCAAACGAATGGATGAACACGAGTTCGAGTTATATTAACGCTGAAGAGGAAATTAGCTGCCAGGAGAGATTAAATTCTTCGTTCGATTTGGTTAACGTGAAATTCTACTTCGAGAGTTTGGACTTTCGATTTTGATTCCATCTACGACTTTTCCTACGGATGTTTTCCCTCCCTTAGAAAGAACCCTGCCGTAAACAATTCGGGACTGAGAGTATTGTGGTATAAGTGGTAACGTTTCGATTGATTTTCCGATTCATCTCCAGGGTCGAGTCAGCTTCAAACGCACTCACACTCGAATTAGAAAAAGTGCATCTTTTGCAGTTATGTGCTGAATATTTGCCGAGTTGTGCTTCTTTAGTGGTAGAAAATTGGAATTATTGATGCAGTGGCAGTGATGTAATACGATTAGAGGAAATTGGGATCATCTCGTTGTTTGTATATCAAAGCTTTTAAAATTTGTTTCGATATTTCGACGCTGACTCGGCTGGATCAGAAGTTGAACTTAATGTTTGATAAAGTATAAAACTAAGAATAATGTTTAGAAATAATATATGGCCAATGCTTCTGCCGGAAGCTTATAAAAATATCAATAAACCATCCCAAAATATACAAGTAAGTAAACACTAAACATATACAAAAAAACATAACAAACGGAGGAAAACAAAACTTACCGAGAAAGTAACAAAATCCGTAAAGCTTAAGGGGGGAAACGACGGCATTCGTGGACTGAAATGCCGTCACGTTGTTGCTCGTTTACGTTCTCTGTGAAACTTACTTCGCTTGTCGATCGTCGCCGACGTCGCTGCCGCCGCCGCCGAAATAGTAGTGCTCGATGGTTCGAAGCTCGGACGACTTGGTAGACAGCCGACATGCGATCGCCAACCTATCTGGGGCTCTAACCAGCGTGCACCGACTGGAGGAGTTCGGTGACGATTTTGAGGTAAAGAGACAGAGAGCAGAGAGCGTAGCCGGACGCGTACATGAAACGAAAGAAAGGAAACAAAAATTAGGACACTGGATATGGCATGAGAGATGAATGAGAATGATCATCGAGTGGAACGTGTTTGTGATTCAATTAGGACAAGACGACTGTCAAAGCGAATAGAGCGACTTGATCCACAGTAGCTTAAAAGGTATCTGAAGAAGACCATTGTTCAATAACCTCAAAAGGACATTTTTCATTTCAAAGGGGACGTGTGTCATGCCAATAAATGAACCCTTAGTTCTTAAAAGGGGATCGTCATTATTCTCAATTAGAATCTCCAGTATCCCAAAGAAAGTTAACATATCTGAAATGTAATCTCGAGTACTCCAGAAGGAATAAATGTCCTTCCAAGTGTGTATTCATTACCATTACTCTTTATTTGTTCCAAATTCAAAATAAATTACATTTCCTTTTAACCTAGGTGCTCCAGTTACTGCAGTAACGTACCAGCCTTAATTGTTATGATATATATCTAAGTGTTTTTACATTGTTCATGTCTTGGCAATTCAGTATTTTAAACAGGTTTTTTAACCTGCATGTCAGTATAACAATTGATCTCACGACCCATCAATATTGTTATAAATCGATGGTTCTAGAATCGCCAAAATTACTTTTAAAACGCCAAAAATTACCAATAATCAATAAGTTAGTCCTAAAACTTTAAAAGATTATGAATGCCAAAAAGAAATCGATCCACCATAATGACTCTAAAAACGCCAAGAATGTCTTGAAAAAGCTAAAAATAGCATTGAATCGCCCTAGAAAGCCTCAATAATCATCGTCTGACAGTGTTGGGGTTGTGAGTAGTCGCGGGTAGTCGACGGCTAACTTAGCACCAGACAAAAAAAATCAAACGAATTTGGATTACGAGAAATGAAGTCAAATTTTACTTGGAAAATTGCAATCAAATTTTACTTGGAAAACCGCAAATGAAATTGGATTTCGAGAACCGAAGTCAAATTTTACTTGGAAAAGCGCAAATGGATTTGGATTTCGAGAAGCGAAGGAAATTGCAATCAATTTGACTTGACAAAACGGAAACAACTTTGGATTACGAGAAGTGAAGTAAAATTTTACTTCGAAAATTGCAATCGAATTTGAATTACGAGAAGCGAAGTCAAATTTGTTTTGGAAAAGCGTAAATGGATTTGGATTTTGAGAAGCGAAGTCACATTTTACTTGGAATATTGCAATCAATTTTTACTTGGAAAACGCAAATGGATTTGGATTTTGAGAAACGAAGTCAAATTTGTCTTGGAAAAGCGCAAATGGATTTGGATTTCGAGAAGCGAAGTCACATTTTACTTGGGAAATTGCAATCAAATTTGACTTGACAAAACGGAAACAAATTTGGATTACGAGAAGCGAAGTCAAATTTTACTTGGAAAAGCGCAAATGGATTTGGATTTCGAGGAGCGAAGTCACAATTTATTTGGGAAATTGCAATCAAATTTGAATTACGAGAAGCTGAGTCAAATTTTACTTGGAAAAGCGCAAATGGATTTGGATTTCGAGAAGCGAAGTCACAATTTACTTGGGAAATTGCAATCAAATTTGACTTGACAAAACGGAAACAAATTTGGATTACGAGAAGCGAAGTCAAATTTGTCTTGGAAAAGCGTAAATGGATTTGGATTTCGAGAAGCGAAGTCACATTTTACTTGGGAAAGCGCAAATGGATTTGGATTTCGAGAAGCGAAATCACATTTTACTTGGGAAATTGCAATCAAATTTGACTTGACAAAACGGAAACAAATTTGGATTACGAGAAGCGAAGTCAAATTTGGCTTGGAAAAGCGCAAATGGATTTGGATTTCGAGAAGCGAAGTCATATTTTACTTGGGAAAGCGCAAATGGATTTGGATTTCGAGAAGCGAAATCACATTTTACTTGGGAAATTGCAATCAAATTTGACTTGACAAAACGGAAACAAATTTGGATTACGAGAAGCGAAGTCAAATTTGTCTTGGAAAAGCGTAAATGGATTTGGATTTCGAGAAGCGAAGTCACATTTTACTTGGGAAAGCGCAAATGGATTTGGATTTCGAGAAGCGAAGTCAAATTTTACTTGGGGAATTGCAATCTAATTTGACTTGACAAAACGGAAACAAATTTGGATTTCGAGAAGCGAAGTCACATTTTACTTGGGAAAGCGCAAATGGATTTGGATTTCGAGAAGCGAAGTCACATTTTACTTGAGAAATTGCAATCAAATTTGACTTGACAAAACGGAAACAAATTTGGATTACGATAAGCGAAGTCAAATTTGTCTGGGAAAAGCGTAAATGGATTTGGATTTCGAGAAGCGAAGTCAAATTTTACTTGGAAAAGCGCAAATGGATTTGGATTTCGTAAAGCGAAGTCACAATTTACTTGGGAAATTGCAATCAAATTTGACTTGACAAAACGGAAACAAATTTGGATTACGAAAAGCGAAGTCAAATTTGTCTAGGAAAAGCGTAAATGGATTTGGATTTCAAGAAGCGAAGTCAAATTTGTCTTGGAAAAGCGCAAATGGATTTGGATGTCGAGAAGCGAAGTCACATTTTACTTCGGAAATTGCAATCGAATTCGGATTAGGAGAAGCGAAGGCAAATTTTACTATGAAAATTGCAATCGAATTTGATTTACGAGAAACGAAGTTAAATTTTACTTAGAAAAGCGCAAATGGATTTGGATTTCGAGAAGCGAACTGACGTTTTACTTGGAAAAGTGCAATCAAATTTGAATTACGAGAAGCGAAGTCAAATTTTACTTGGAAAAGCGCAAATGGATTTGGATTTCGAGAAACGAAGTCACATTTTACTTGGAATATTGCAATTAATTTTTACTTGGAAAACGCAAATGGATTTGGATTTCGAGAAGCGAAGTCAAATTTTACTTGGAAAAGCGCAAATGGATTTGGATTTCGAGAAGCGAAGTCACATTTTACTTGGGAAATTGCAATCAAATTTGACTTGACAAAACGGAAACAAATTTGGATTACGAGAAGCGAAGTCAAATTTGTCTTGGAAAAGCGTAAATGGATTTGGATTTCGAGGAGCGAAGTCACAATTTATTTGGGAAATTGCAATCAAATTTGAATTACGAGAAGCTGAGTCAAATTTTACTTGGAAAAGCGCAAATGGATTTGGATTTCGAGAAGCGAAGTCACAATTTACTTGGGAAATTGCAATCAAATTTGACTTGACAAAACGGAAACAAATTTGGATTACGAGAAGCGAAGTCAAATTTGTCTTGGAAAAGCGTAAATGGATTTGGATTTCGAGAAGCGAAGTCACATTTTACTTGGGAAAGCGCAAATGGATTTGGATTTCGAGAAGCGAAATCACATTTTACTTGGGAAATTGCAATCAAATTTGACTTGACAAAACGGAAACAAATTTGGATTACGAGAAGTGAAGTCAAATTTGTCTTAGAAAAGCGTAAATGGATTTGGATTTCGAGAAGCGAAGTCACATTTTACTTGGGAAATTGCAATCGAATTCGGATTAGGAGAAGCGAAGTCAAATTTTACTATGACTTTAAATCGAATTTGATTTACGAGAAACGAAGTTAAATTTTACTTAGAAAAGCGCAAATGGATTTGGATTTCGAGAAACGAAGTCACATTTTACTTGGAATGTTGCAATCAATTTTTACTTGAAAACAGGCAAACAAATTTGGATTACGAGAAGCGAAGTCAAATTTTACTTGGAAAAGCGCAAATGGATTTGGATTTCGAGAAGCGAAGTCACATTTTACTTGGAATATTGCAATCAATTTTTACTTGGAAAACGCAAATGGATTTGGATTTTGAGAAGCGAAGTCAAATTTTACTTGGAAAAGCGCAAATGGATTTGGATTTCGAGAAGCGAATTCACATTTTACTTGGAAAATTGCAATCAAATTTGACTTGACAAAACGGAAACAAATTTGGATTACGAGAAGTGAAGTCAAATTTTACTTCGAAAATTGCAATCGAATTTGAATTACGAGAAGCGAAGTCAAATATGTCTTGGAAAAGCGCAAATGGATTTGGATTTCGAGAAGCGAAGTCAAATTTAACTTGGAAAATGGTTAAGTTAAGTTTTACTTAGAAAAGCGCAAATGGATTTGGATTCCGAGATGCGAACTGACATTTTACTTGGAAAATTGCAATCAAATTTGAATTACGAGAAGCGAAGTCAAATTTGTCTTGGAAAAGCGCAAATGGATTTGGATTTAAAGAAGCGAAGTCAAATTTTACTTGGAAAATTTCAATCAAATTATTAATTCTAAATTTAAGCATTTACACATAGGGGTAAATTTCAACTCAGGTTTGATTCCATATAATTTAAAAAATTAAATTCCTGCGACCCACTTATGGGCAGCTCACGACCCACCAGTGGGTCGCAACCCATAGATTGAGAAACACTGCCTGGGAACTCGGAAAAAAGATTACAATGAAAGTTGGACGAAACTCTGCGGTATGTTGGATGAAAGTTCCGGGAAAAACATCCGAGAAAAGTCTGAAAAACTTCCGGCGGAAGTCAGAAAAAATCTTCTGGAACAATTTGATGGAAAAAGAATAGTCAAAGGAACTCCCAGAGCAAGCCGGACAGCCGTAAGAAAGTTTCAGCAGAAGTCGGAAAAATCAGCTGAAAGAAGCCAAGGTGCGGTAGAGGTTAGAAAATGTTTCATTCAAATTCGGAAGACATTTCCAGGAGAAGTCAGAAAGATCTCAAATAAAACTTCCAGCAAAAGCCGAAAAAAATCTCCGCAGGGAATCAGGAGAAACTTCCAGAAGAAATGGTAGAAAATTTCGGAGGAATTTATAAGAATCTTTCTTGCAAATTTGGTAGTTCGGAAGAAACTTCTAGAAAAAGTTAGAATTTTACGCAAGGAATTCATATGAAAGTCGGATGAAGCTTCTGAAGGAAATAGTAAAGTATTACAGGGAAAGTTGGAAGCAATTTCTGGGAGGAGGCGAAATAATCTTCCGAGTGAATTCAGAAAAACCATCCAGAGAAAGTCGACAAAATTTTCCAAACAAAGACAGAAAGATTTCTCGAAGTTTGTGGGAATGAAATGGGAGTGTGAGTATCCAACAAATAATTCGAGCTGATTAAAAGCTGTATAAACATTTTTTAGCAGAAGAAACATAATTTCCTGAATAAAGGTTGAACACGAAAAGAGCTAAGGCATTTTTTTAATTTAACTGAATCAAGATAAGACTGTATAGAATCACAGTAGGCATTGGTTGTCAGGATAAGTTCAATTATTTACATCATGGCTTCTCCGGAGCAACCACGTCGCGATTCGATCCTGCACGCTCGAAACGAAAATCCCGGTCTATATGCTCCTGGCAGTTCCTGGGGGGGCAGGAATTGTATACCTCGGTTGACCGGAAGAGTGCCCCAGAAGCATGTAAAATCAAAAAGAATTCGAAGCTCCCCGAAGCCTGGCAAGCAATCTGCAGTTGTGGGTTGAAATTCTCAGGATACTTAAGTGTAAGTAATTCCAAATTAGCGCAAAGAATGTCTAAAAAATCGCTTGCTAACTTTCGAACAACGCACAGAGGTCTCTTTCAGTGAAAATTCAGGAAAATAACTTCTATAAATTGAAAGTACCAGGAGAATTTAATAAATTTAAAGGAAAATTCCAAAGTCCACATATCAAGAAGACTGGCGACTGATACAGTAGCGCTGCGCTCGTCCAAAAGTGGAAGCAACGCATAGATAAAAAAATACACAAACCTTTCTTCTGAGGATGAAACCTCTGCTTTACCTTTGACCGGCAGATGACGCGTTTATGGGAAACTCTTCTTGATATGTTGTCTTCGGAAATTCAGAAGATTTTATAGAGCGTGTTCGAAAAGCTTTCTATTAAAGTCGATGATCTTCTACTTAGGTCTCCAGGACTCCAGGAAAAGTTTATAGGAAACCATAAGTCTTTAAACTATTTTTGAACGTTCAGAGGATCTAAGAGAACTAAACTCTTCTAACTAAGGGAAATTCAGAGACTTTCCAGGGAAAGTCTAACCAATTCTATATGACACCTATTACTACGAACTTCTACGAAATGAGAAACCAAATGAATCCAAGCTAAAACAAATCTTCAACGTCATGTGCTACGATCTACCTTCACGTTCTGCTCCGAGTCGTCCCCTCCTCTTCAATGAAGTCTGTAAGCTAAATCTGTAACTCTCGCTGCGCTGTGTTGTCTTGTGACGAGTTGTGTTGTATTAAGAATGTCAGGGTAACATCATGGTCCCATGTTATCGATGGCGTTTTTAGTTGTATAAAACGATAATTAAAAAGGCAGTAGCGGGTTGTTGTCGTTCATAAGTCGCGGGAAGAAAATGGACGGGAAGAATGGGATATCGTTGGTTGTTGGGATCGTCTATTCTATGCACATCCTCCGCGCTTGTTAAACAATCACCTCAGGATGTCATTCTATAAATTCATCCGAAGGAACTTCGTAGATGGCCTGGCGATGGAATGTGAAGGGAATGATACGGAAACAAGAGAGAAGGAAAGAATACAAGTTTCATAGTTAGCAGAACGAAAAGAGGAAGGATTTCTATACACTAACACTACTGATATCAGAGATCAGAGTTTGCTAACGGTTGAACCGACTAGGTTTGGTGATGCCTCATCTATTCTACACAGCTATTGATTTGATCTTGCTTGATTATCTGCTCCACTATCCATAATGTCTTTTCTACTGATATTCCGGTGGTGAGATTTTAATTAGTCTAGATGAAAGTGAAAATGTTGTGCCTAAATGTGCTGATGTATGTGTGATTTCGTATGTGTGTGTGTGCGTGTTTAGATGTACTTGTGATTTTGATTTACCCTTGAAATGTCCACGCCAGTGATCGATTTGACCAGATCCGGAATCTTGTTGACGATCTGCAGCACTTCGCCGGTCAGCTTTGCCGCACCGACATCGGCACTTCCGCTAGATACCATCGTAATCTTCTTGGTCTGAGACAGTGGGGCTGCAACCTCGGCGACCACCTGTAGATAAATTCAAACATATATTAGATGAAATTATAACCCGATTTGCATAGAAACTAGGCACGTACCTTTGGCAAAGTTTCCAAGAGCATGTCGACCATAGCAGCTTCGCGATACTCTCGCCAAGCTTCCGCCTTCTTAGCCATCTGCTCGGCTTCGGCTTTCGATTTGGCAGCGATGGCAAATGCTTCGGCTTCTCCGCGGACTTGTATCTGTTGGGAAACACAACCCTATCTGTCACAGCCCTTTCCGTTTCCAAGTAGGTTCTACTCACCGCTTCCGCTTCGGCTTCCGCCTCCAGGATGACCCTGTTCCGGTTGGCTTCGGCCAGCTTTTCCAGTTTGAACTTCTCCGCCTCAGCCGGGCGCCGGATGGTGGCTTCCAGTTCGCGTTCGCGACGAGCCATTTCCTGCACCTGAACGGCAATTTCCTGGGTACGTTCAATGACCTTAATTTGCATCTGTTCCTCCTTGATGCGCTGTTTGGTTTTCGCGGCCTGCAGCTCGTATGCCATCTCGGCTTCGGCCTTCTTCGTCTGCACCTCGACGTCGTACACTGCCTTCTTCAGCTCAAAGTCACGCTGTGCCTTGGCAATTTCCGTGTCGTTCAGGAAACGGGAAGCCATCCGTTGTTCCTCGGCGATGGCCTCCTTGATCGTGGCGTCACAGCGGGCTTCCGCCTCACCAATACGGGCGTCCCGTTTGACTTCGGCCGTACGAGCCATACCCAAACTTTTGAGATAGCCCTGCGGGAAAAGAAGATGGAAAACACGAAAAATGCACAAAAACGTGACCGGATTTATGGCTCGGCTGTTCGCGGAACCTATAATCAAAGTTCTAGTCGTGGAAACTCGAAAAATCTCGGTGAGGATCACTCTCAAAACGCACTTCAAGTGTTTCAAACTTACGGTTCTGAATGGTTTCAAAAAATTCAAGTCAGTGGTCTGTCATTATTTTTTCTGGTTCATTCATAAATTATTCTAGTTCATTTTTCCAACAGTCTGTTCAGTCATTTTCCTCCACATGTATTAGCCTCTTGTTGGATTTATTTTTTTTTTACTGTTCGGGACTTAAATTTCTCCGATCAGTAATTTTATCTATTGCACTATACTGCCCTTTTCAGCATAGGGCCTTATTACGGGTGTCACTACACGGTGATAAGGAAGTGATACTCAGAATGAGAACCGTGATTGCCGTACAAATCAAATGGGAATCACTTCACCGTGACGACAAGTGACAAGTTTTCACCGTGAAGTGACATCCGTAATAGGCCCCATAGTGTTGTCCCATTAGTGAAAACAGCAAGCTGAGAAAAACGCTGTTGAAGATTTTTTTCTCTATGGACTCATATGGACGGGAAAACATAGTTTTGGTATTTTTCGCGACATTTTCTGTCCAAATTAAGAAACTTTCCTTGTTCATTGTGAAGTTTGACAGTCGATTCCAATGTATAACTTATGTTCGCCTAATGCCAAATGCTAATAAGACTGTTATGCCACACACTGTTATCCCATGTTGTTAGTTTAGTGCATGCTGTATTACTACCAGGGCCCAACAATCGAAAATCGTCAAGCGACGACGAAGCTGTCAACCATAACTTTCAATTGAAAGTCATTCTATCTTCTCATCGAGCAGATCCTCTTCAACATCAATAGAACCACTTTCAATCACTTTTCATGCGGTTTGTTTTGGCTTAACTCGTGTTCATTTCGTCTTTCATAGAGTTCTCTACCACCGTTAGTATTAGTGAGAAGTCTCACTAATACATGCATTTTACTGGTTGAAAATAAAAAAACAAACCGCTGTCAAGTCGAACACTTTGACAGCTGATTTCGTGGTTGAAAATAATAAACAAAGCGAAAGTATAAGTGAGATGTTGCGTCGAGAAGTCTATTGACCACTTTGTCAAGCAATTTTGGCGTGACTTTCTACCAGCGATTTCACAAAACTGGACCAACTAATTTCTATTTTTTAGTGAAACGCGCAAATGTTGGCTATTTTTTTCGAGGTTCTAGAAGAAAAAATCTCAAAAGGGTTAGTTTGGTAAAGAGAGATGAAAAAACCGATTTGTACCTTCCTTAAAAGTTGTCCTAGCTCGCTATTCTAATATCTATATGCAATCTTCACACTGCCGTACTCTAACGGAACTATCAACTCTATGCTTTCATCTACTCCATCTATCGTATAAAAATTACCACTACAGTCTGTTATTTGAAATTAGCATCTTCAACTACTCAAAATAATGTTTCATTTCAAAGTTCGAGTGGTAGTAAACGTCATTTTATCTGCTCGAATGAAGTGGTTAATTGTCAAATGGACTTACTTTCGCATTGAAGCGAAGCTGTTCGATCCAAATTCGCGCAGTTTTTCTGACTTTCATCATTGTCGGGTGGTGGTTTGGGTATTTTTTGAATTGGGGTGACGTTTAGGGGCCGGAAATCGATGACCGACGCCACTTTGAAATCCAAGATGGCAGCTTCCGATTTCATAAAAAGTGGGAAATACTGATGCCAACCCATCAATATGGGTATTTTTGGAATCGGGGTGACGTCTAGAGATTGTAAATATATTTGCGACGCCATTTTGAAATCCAAGATGGTGGCTTCCGGTTTAAAAAAATGTGAGAAATACTCTCAAATAATCATCAATATGGGTATTTCTGGAATCGGGATGACATCTAGAGGCTTAAAATCGATATCCAACGCCATTCTGAAACCCAAGATGGCGGCTTCCGATTCAAGAAAATGTGAAGAAATACTATCAAATACTTCTACTGGTATTTTTTGGAATCGGTATGTCATCTAGAGGCCGGAAATCGATGTCAGACGGCATTTTGAAATCCATGATGGCTTCCGATTTAAGAAAAAGTAGGAAATACTGTCAAATACCCATCAATATAAGTTTTTTTTTGGAATCGGGATGACGTTTAGAGATCGGAAATCGATGTCCGACGCCATTTTGAAATCCAAGATGGCAGCTTTCGATTCCAGAAAAAAAAGTGGGAAATACTGTAAAATACCCATCATATGGGTATTTTTTGGAATCGAGTTGACTAGAGATTGGAAAGATATGCAACGCCATTTTGAAATCTAAGATGGTGGCTTCCAGTTTAGGAAAAAGTGGAAAATACTGCCAAACACCCATCAATATGGGTATTTTTGGAATCGGGATGACGTTTAGAGAATGAAATTCGATATTCGACGCCAATTTTGAAAAAAGTGGGAAATTCTACCATCTAATTTTTTTTAGAATCTGGGTATTGTCTAGAAGCCGGGAATCGATATCCTACGCCATTGTGACATCAAAGGGCCAGTTGTGCAGGAAGATTTGAGGGCATTTATCCTACGCAGTCAGACGAAGCAGAAGTGTTGGAAAAGTTTGCGATATTTCTCGATGAACATTTCAAATGGTCCTATCTGCTTTGATCGATTCTCTTCATCGACATCGAAAGGTTTTGCAGCTGAGTTATTAACGAAAGAGAAAGTCGATGAAGAGAATCGATCAAAGCAGATAGGACCATTTGAAATGTTCATCGAGATTTCACGAAGTTCACCAAGAGAAAATTTCGCGAGTCATAGTGAGTTTTCGTGAACTTTTCCATCACTACGAAGCAGATTCTCCTCGTATTGGACGTCGAGAAGATGTTCCGACAAATCCTTATGTAGCTCAAGGATCAACCACTCCGCTCCGTATGATTTCGCTTTTCTCGGGAAGTTGCCGTGTACGAACTGTAAATCGTTACGTATGGAGCCACACCCGCACCATTCCTGGCAACACGAACTCCCCGACAGTTGGCTGCTGACGAAGAAGACCGATTGCCGCTCGCGGCAAGAGCAATTCGTGAGGACGTCTATATGGTACGGACGAGGTGGATGCAGTATCAGAAACCAGTTGACCGAGATGATGCAGTTCAATAGAAATTTCACGAAAAACTCCCATTGTTGAACGAAATTCGAGTCGATCGCTGGGTTATCATTCCCAAGGCAGTACTAGTGGAAATACATTGCTTTTCAGACGCTTCGAATAAGGCGTATGGTGGTTGCGTCTACATACGAAGTCCAGGATTCCAGCGGAACAATTAAGTTGTTTTTTCCGACCTTTATTAGAACTTTCTTCAAACATGCTCCAGAAGAGTTTCTTTAATCTTTTCTGCAAGTTCTGATGGCTTCCTTCAGAAGTTAATTCAAATTGACCTATTGAAAATTGATAAAGTGTTCATTTAAGTAGATTCGTAGAACAATTTCCAATCGATTGACTTGTTTAGAATTAAAATCAATCCGCTATTGGCAGAGTTATAAGTGGTCAAAGCCTGACCACTTTTCGTGACGCGGTCGATTTGAGATTTTTGAAATTGCACCCCCAATATGTACCCGAAAGACGTAATCCTACGTCAAAAATAAAATCTCACCAATGCCCAAGATTACGCTTGATTTTCCTACACAAAAATCAACAAGCAAGCAACAGCGGATAATATTATAAGCGGTGATAATGTAGCTACGAATATCGAGCTAACAAAACTCAACAGCTACAATTTCATCCAAACCGTGGTGAGGAGTTTCATGATTTTTACTTTACATCCGAACGCGACCCGAAGCTACGGTCACTGCTGGCAGTAGTAGCATCGTGTCTGCCATCGCCAGAAGTATAAAGAGAGATAGCCAACTATACTTACTCTTTCTAAGAAAACGATATGCAACGGAATCGTTTTTGTGTCGAGTCAACTCTCAGCTTCATGTTTACATGTTGTGAATAGTCTCGCAATATAGACGAGTGCAAGGGTGAACTTTTGTTCATCTACTGAAAAAAAAATTGAAATTAATGAACACATGAATTATGCTCGCGTAACATTTGAAAAGGGCCTATCAACTATTGTAAACAACTTCCTAGGTCCTTTCACGAGAACCGAAGTACGCCCACGCAAACCAAGAGCACTATTGTGAAAGGGAGAATTTCCCCTACCCGATGGTTTTGTTAGTTTGTGTGGGCGTATTTGGTTCGCGCGAAAAGGGCTTAACAAGTTTTGTGTACACAAATTGATAGGCCTGTTTCAAATGTTACGCGAGTATTATTCATGTGTTCATTTTTAGTAAACAGGGCCTCTCTGTTGTGTCACTTTGTCGAGTGAGTGAACTCAAATCCATCCGTGCACTCGTCTATCAAAGGAGCTTGCAAAATTAATATCAAGCATGATATTTTGTTCCAGAGTGGAAAAATATCAATTGATTGATGATTTTACCAACACTGATTTTGAATATAATTCTTAAGTTTAATAGTACGTTCAGACTACAGAGTTAAAACATGTTATCGCGCTATCTTGATGGTGGTTTCTGTGTTGCAATTAGTTGACAACCGTTATAACATGTTATAACTCTCCAGTCTGGACAGCCCTGCGATCAGCTACAATGACTACAGCACCTCCAAGAACAATCGTTTCCTTTCGTTGACACAGGCCAGCAAAAATCGCATTCTCCACTTCTTCAATACCCCACCCGTATGCCGTCCGAGGATCTGCTGCTGACTGCATTCAACACCAAGGACTGCCACCCGTCGCAAGTGCGAATGTTCCCTCTGAAATCAGAAAGTTCCTCTTCCGGATTGGTAGAGTTCCCGAGCGTAGCCCTGGCGGTGAACGCCATCATGAACTGCAACCACAGCGCGATCGATCACAAAGGCACAAAAATCCCGTGCATTATGAAGCTGTGCTTCTCCTCCTCCAAGACGATGAACACTGTGCGTGGAGCAACGA